CCAGTAGTTGGACCTCAAATGGTTGCTCAACGTGTTTTTCAAGACTCTAGTGGCTACCCACCAAATTAAGAGGTAGAACATTAAAAATTCATGTTTTAAAAGATACTAGTTATTTTTTTGAAATTTTTATGGGAATGGTATGGAAATTTACAAAGTTTTCCATCCAGCAATTCATATATTTTCTTATGTCGTTGATTATAATCCCCACAATTTTTCATCATTTCTCACTTCTACCCTGTTTTGTCTCCATCTTCTATGATCTGCTAACCCTCTCTGCCTTCTGCCTTCTTCAGCAGATGCTGACCTTTGACCCTGTATGGTTAATTTTTCTGAGGAGTGCACACTTCCCTAGTGTTATTGCTCCACTTGCAAACCTATTGCTTGGCTGAAAATTGAGCCACAGCATTAAGTTCAGTTCTAGGCCTGAAACGTAACTAAGGCCAAAGTTTTAGAGGTCCCATCGTTATCTATCCAGCCAATAAACCTGGTCTTTTTTTATTATCTCATACATTTTTCTCCAACTCTTTCTAAGGCCTTTTAATGTGACCCCTTTTACAGTAGATAGTAGTGGCAGGTAGGTTTGTTGTGCCAACATGGCCAATGAACACATGTGAGATTAGTTGAAGGGCAGAGAGATGAATGGCTCAGCAAGCCTCATCTCTTGCTCTTTGATCATCAGACGAGTGTGCGGATGCCTTGCTTGTTCTGTGCCTCCATTTGCAAGCTACACTGTGTGACGCTGTAACTTGAGGTTCCTTCAAGACCTGCTTCGCCACTCTACTGAAGGTACATCTCGAGCTGAGGGCTGTCGGACCTTGTCATCTGGCTGACCGTTGGTGACCTGCTTGCTGTTTGCTGCCTATGGCTGGATAGCCTGAATTGCTCCATGGAGGACTGACTACCCCACGGCCCTCAAGACTTGAAGGGCTGCCAGTGTACTAGCTGTCTCACAGAAGTGAGTTTCACTGAGCCATTTATACTGCTTTATAGATTAACTGTTTATTTCTTATGTTATCTATCTATATAAATATATACAAAATTATTAGTGTCCTGGTTTTGTTTCTCTAGAGAACCATGTCTAACACAGGTAGCAAGGCATCATCTAGTGCTTTTGTCTCAGGGTCCTGGAGGCTGAGATTCACATGATCCATTGGTCCTTTCGACTAACTATTTCCATAGATTGGTAATTTTCTCTAGGAGCCTTAGTGGCCTAGTGTGTTATGCATTGGGTTGCTAACCACAAGGTTAACAGTTCAAAACTACATGCAGCTCCTTGGGAGAAAGGTGAGGCCTTCAACTCCTATGAAGATGGACTGTCTCGGAAACCCACAGTGTCAGTTCTGCTCTGATTTATAAGGGCACTGAGTTGGAGATTGGCTTAATGGTGCTAAGTTCAATTTTCTTTTTTTTTAGTTCAATTTTCTTCATTCTTCTTTGTGCTGGACAGAGAGAGAGATCAGTAATTGTATCTTAGATCACAACTCTAGTTATCATTTTTATACCTTCAAAATAACATACATAGAAATAGGGAGATGGTTAAGTACTCAATTACTAGGCAAAAGACTGACAGTTCGAATTCATGCATAGGTGCCTCAGAAGATAGGCCTGATCATCTGCTTCCTAAAGGTCATAACTTTGAAAATCCTTATGGAGCAGTTAGCCATGAGTCAGAATATACTTGACAGGAACCAGCAACCTAGCAATTAATAGTATGTAACTATTTAGAACTCAGTCAAGCTGAAAATATTTTTAATATTTAATAAATTTGGTAACAAATCGATTTGGTAACAATTCTTTTTGCCTCACTCATGCAAGTCACTGTAACAGTCATGACAGTGAGTGTTAATGAACTAAATTCTTCAGTTAAAAGGCAAGAGAGTCGCAGAATGGATTAAAAACAAAAAAGCTTTAGCTGTCTGGGGCCTCCTGCTAGTCCACATAATGTTGCAGATTAGTTTTTCTATTTCTACAATGAAGATAGCTAGAATGTTTATCAAGATTGCATAAAATATGTAGATCATTGTGAGTAGTACTGACATAACAATATTGTATTTCCATTCCACGAACAAGAAGCATCTTTCCACTTAGATAAATCCTGTTTAATCTTTTTCAGCAATTGGTTTTTAATGTATAAGTCTTTCATGTCCCAAGTTAGAGTTAGTACCTAAATTTAGTACCTCTGTTCTCTTGTAATTCAATATGGAACGTCTGGAGTCTTAAGAGTAAAAATGAAAATGAGAATGTCAAATTCTTATGGACACCAGCTTGCCTGGAGCTCTGAGGGTTGGAAAAAAACCCTGAAACTACTGCCCTGAAATAATCTTTAAACCTTAAACCAAAAATATTCCCTGATATCTTCTTAAAACCAAACAACACCTACCCACTGCCCATCTTCTGATCAAGTGGTTTCCAATTCATAAGGAGAGTATATATCTTTATAAGAACAAACAGCCTCATCTTTCTCCCACAGAGCAGGTGCTAGGTTTGAACTGTCAACTTGCAGTTAATCATCCAATGCTGACATGACAGTACCAGCAGAATAATTTACTATAAACAGTAAAAGTTAACTGTTCTTATAAGAGCTATCTATATAAGATTAAAGTGACAATAGCAACAAAATATTGGATAGGAATCTTACTAAATTTAACAGGAGGAATAACTCAGAAAAAGAGGATGAGAATGGTTACACGATTCAAAAAATTTAATCTGTCACTGAATCAATGGTACACGTAGAAACTAATGTTGAAATGGTGTATGCTTTGTTGTATATATTCTCAAAAATAAATAAAATTATATTAAAAAAATACTAAATGAATCTTCATTTCAGGGTCCCCCAGATCAAAATCAAACTCTAAGTGACTAAGATTCAAGAACCGTTTTTCAACAAGCTATCTGTATTTCTATATAGCAACTCACTCCCATAAAACCCATTCTGACTCATAGTGACCCTACAGGGCAGGGCTTCAAGGTCTAACTCTTTTTTTAGTATATGTGCTGCCGAAGCGAGCACATCAAGGTCTAACTCTTTAGAGGAGCAGAAAGCTTTATCTTTCTTCTCAAGAGCATCTGGTGGTTTCAAACTGCTGACCTTGCAAGTTAGCAGCCTGTCTTTAAGAATCAATAGGATTTAGATATCCTCATGATGAAAGGAAATAGAACTACAGCAGAAACAGAATTAAACCTTGTGACTTCTAAAGTGACAAAGAATAAATAGACCTCTCACCAGTATAAACATAGATAATTCTTGAATCACCTACTACTATAACCACTCTCTAAGTCAGCATCCTTTTAGTTATCTAATTGCAAGTCTGCTTCCATCTTTGCACCCTCTAAAAAATTCTCTACCCAGCAGTCAGAATGATCTAAAAATGTAAATTAGAACATGCCATTTCCCTTTCCCCCTATTACAGCATCACATTTTATGAGTAAAACCCTTAACTTTTATTCTGGTTTACAAAGCACTATAGAATTTGGCCCTTTGACCTCACCTCTTTTCTCCTCTGTCGTGATAGCAATCCACTGGTCATTTTTGTTCCTAAAACATGCAGTTTCCAGCCTTAGAACATTTGTTCATCAGTCAAGAATGTTCTTCTCTCTGATCTTCTCAAGGATCACTCTGCCTTCCTATTCAGCCTTTAGCTTAATGCCATCTCCTCAGGGAGGTCTTCTCTAACCACCCAATCAAAAGTAGCCTTCCAATTACAAGCTGGAAGCACTACATTTTAATATCCTACAAGGCATTTATCACAAACTGACCTTTTCCCTACTTATTTGTTCACTGTTTATCGTCCTCTCTCACCAGAATGTAAGCTCTAGGACTTGTCTTGGTACTAGAGTCACATTTAATGCGCAAGGTTTAGAATAAAACAAAAATCCAAACCCACTGCACTGACTCCAACACATGTTTCAAAGTAGGGCTACGTTCCATAGGGTTTCCAATGGCTGTAATTTTATGGAAGCAGTTCTTCAGGTCTTTCTTGTATAGCACTGCTATGTGGATTCAAAATGCCAATCTTTCAGTTAGTAGCTGATCACAAACCATTTGCTCTACTCAGGGACTTTCAGGCTTAGGATAGTGCCTGGCTCAGTACATATTTGTAATGAACCTACTCTTGCTTTGGGATGACTACTTTATGTAGTTCTGATTTTATCAAAGAAAAAATAACAAAATTTACTTTTTCCTAAATACCAGCCAATGAACACACCCAATGTGTCCGCCCACATTAATGGAAGAGGAAAAATTCAAAGTAATAGCCAACAATAGTTTAGTTATTCCAAATCACAAAATTATGGAAAATAACCAAAATATCTGAAATTTGTATTTATAGCAAAACCAAGTTCCTTTTTTCCACAGTCCTGAGGTTAAAACAAAAATAAAGACTTGAAGGTTTAACCAGCACTGTGCAGGAAAACTCCCAAATATCCATCAACAAGTGAATAGGTAAACAAAGTGTACAATGAGTACTATTACTAAGCAAAAGCTATAAAAAAGAATTAACTATTATTGATACATATAACAATATAAATGAATACCAATTAATTATGTGAGAGTCATTTTCAAAAAAGGGTACAGACTATATGATTCCATTTCTATAAAGTTCTAGAATATGATGGAAAGTAGATCAGTGGTTTCCTGGGGTGAGGGTAGCAGGTAGGAAATTACAAAGGAAAAAGAGGAAATTATATGCATTTTATTGTATGTCAATTATATTTTAATAAAATTTTTTTTAAAGGCAAGAGTAGGTCACTCCCTTGCTTCGAACCCAATGGCTAGACCATCCAATAAAAAAATTATTTTTGAAGTTTTACCAGTATTGTGGAAAAAGTAACATTTAAATTTAAACTTTAAATTTAAAGCAGACCAATGTCAAGAGCTGTTTACAGTAACTGATAAACAGATTTAAATTTTTAACTTCATTAGAAAAAAATAATAGTAATTTCAAACACTTAAAATTTTTTTATCCAAAAGCCAAAAAATGCAGTAAATTCTCACAAATTACCTGTAGAAGGTGATGATTTCTCTGAGTGTCTTGCATTTAAAAGTTTTCTGCTAATAAATATGTAACCACAGGGACATGATTTACATGCAACAGGAACCTATAGGATAGAAAAGAAAAAAAAGATGGCAACTATTTTTCTATTAAACCTTTTAAGTGTTTTTATGGTCTTCTTAACTCAGTGATAACCTACATTAAGTATTTAAATCCCACCTCTGTATACCAATGCATTTGAAAAAGTATTGCATGCTTTACATGTTCACATTTTACTAGTGCTTAATAATATAAGGTGGGGCTTCAAATCATTCATTAAAAAAATGCCATGAAAAGATCATGGAAATTTCCCACAAACTCCCTGAAGCTTTCTTGTGCATGCCTACAGTAAAAATGAGGTAAAATGTGTGCTCTTCAGCTGATTCTACTGAATAGCAACCTTACAGAACAGCACAGAACTGCCGAATATGATTTCTGAGGCTGTAAACCTTAATGGTAGCAGATTATCTATCTTTCTCCCAGTCTAGTGGCTTCAAAAACCAATCTCACTGGCACTGAGTCAATGCTGACTCATGGCGATGCCCTGTGGATTTCTGAAACAGTAACTGTTTCTGGGAGTAAAAAGCCGAGTCTCCTGTGGAGATGCTGGTGGTTTTGAACTGCCAACCATGGGACCGCAGCCCAACTCGTAACTACTACACCACCAGGGCTCCTACTGGTTTTAAACTACCAATCTTTCAATTAGCAACCTAACACTACAGAGTAGCCAATAGAAAACTACTAGTATAATAGGACTAGAGGTTGAGGAGGAAGGGAAAGGGGTGTATGTGGTAATTACATAATCTGGTGTCAACTTGCGAAAGGGTGGCGTCTAGCCTGTCAATCAGGTTGCAGCTTGATGACCTCATTTGGAGGCGCCACAGAGACAAATAGCTCACTGGAGGCCAGATACATACAGACTTCGCTTGTCTTCCTGTGAGACATTCCTACTGATAAGTCACATGGGGCACACTGTTGGAGTCAGAGCCTGGAGCTGGAGAAGCCACGTGGAGACCCTTGCCAGCGCTAAGATGCTTCCATTGCCACTGGATCCACAAGACTTTCCACCCAACTGGCCTGTGGTCTTCCTGCATTCGGAGTCATTGCATGTTTTGCATGAGTCTGAAGCGGAATTTATAGTTTGGTATCGGGCATATGGGCCAATATTGAACTTATGGACTTGATCTGGACTGGGCTGAAGTGTTTTCTTACTGTACAATTTCTCTTTATATAAAGCTCTTTCTTACTCACATGAGTGTCTCTGGATTTATTTCTCTAGTCAACCCAGAGTAACACAGGGAATTGGGGGGAGGTGGGGGTCTATTTCCTAAACTGTTTGATAGCAGCTTATTGTATAGAACAGAATGACAAACTGGAAAAGGGTGACTGGTTTAAAGCTGCGAGATTTCCTAACCATTAGATTATAAAAGCTTAACTGTAAAGGTTAAAATAGAAATGGAGAAAAGGTAATCTGATACATTTCAAAATAAGAAAACAAGATTTGGACCCACAATGACTGTTAGAATACGTGGAAATTTTAATGGCTCTAGCGTGATAAGGAAAGATGCCCAATACCACTGACAAAAAAAGAATAGTTTATGACAATCACAGGGGCAAAAGCATACTAACAAGCGAAAAAAAATAAGTGAATGGAGTTAAGACCTAGGTAAGTTCTTTTAGCCTCAGTTCCACGAAAAAGCTTGAACAAAACATTTGAGAGTGCTATAAAATATTTACAGCTCCTTTCTCTTTTCAAAAGAATGCTGGTGATGCAGTGGTTTAATTGCTCAGCTGCTAACATAAAAAAGGTCCATGGTTGGAACCCACCAGTTGATTTGTGGGAGAAGGGTCCTGGTAATCTGCTTCTGAAAAGATTGGCATAGTACTTCACAGAAACAATGTTCTATGTTCTATTTCGGTGAGTAGCAACTGGCATCTTTAAAAGCATTTTAGCAGCCATTTAAAGTGCAACTATTGGTCTCTCCCTGTCTCGAAGAAAGAAGAGTGATGAAAATCAAGACATAGGGAAACAATCAGTTCAATGGCATTATGGATCCTGAGATCAGAAGAATCACATGGCAGCTACCACTACAAACTGTTCTGAAAAGGATCATATCAATGTCTTGGATCACTTAAAGCTCATTGCAATCAAGTTGATTCTGATTCATAGTGACCCTATGGGTACAGTGGGAGAAAAATGGGAAACAAAACTCAAAATGAAAATCTAACTTGTCCTTGCGCCTGACTGCACGACGGGCAAGGCTTAGTGAGTGGCCGGGGTTAAAAAAAAAGAACATCTAACTAGTCAAACAAGACTGGTGGGAACCTCAAGACTATGGTCCATAGTCACCCTTCAAGTCTGGAACTGAACTCACCCCATGTTAGAATAATCAATCAAAAGGGCAGCATTTATCCAAGGCCAAAATTCAAAAGGCCATGAAAGGAGGAATGGAAAGAGGAAATGCGGGGAAGAAGTGGGATAAATGATGGTACACTGAAGCAAGTGCAAGGGAGAGTTGAAAAAAATGTGTATGAACTGTTGAAGGTAAAACTGGGATCTACTCTGTAAACCATCATCTAACTGCAGAATAAAACGTTTAAAAAATAAAAATGAAAAGATTATAATATTGGAAACCCTACAGCAACAGTTCTACTCTAACCTTTGGGGTTGCTCTGAACTGGAATCAACTCTAACAGCTAAGGGTTTTGGGGATTTGGTTCTGTTTCAAGCAATGTATGAGCCCAAACATCAACCTCAAATGTATTAAAAATAACTGGGAACAATTTAAAGAAATTTTCTCTATCACCATATCACTAATATCACCCTTAACGAGCCATGAAATCAAGACGTATTTACCAAACGGCAGGTATATTCTCAATGAGAGTGTTCTGATTAACTACAGAAAATTGCAGTTCCCTTTGTAAAAATAAATTCAATTCGCCTATTGTTCTGATTATAGAAAAGTTTAATTATAAAGCTTTTTATTCATATATGTACAGAATGATTCATAGTCTAGAATAAAAATTAAGGTCTAATTAAACTAATTGAAATTTTGGCAGAATAGTTCCTTCGTTTTGCATAAAAATATTGACGGGATCTCGTTTGTATTTGATAATAATGGCAGTCTCATAAAAATAACTTATTTCCAGATATGCCCCAAATTTTGCTTTATTAAGCATGTGATATAGTTTCTTCCAACCATGACTGATAACTTAATGTTGGGCATTTTTAATAGTGTAAAATCTGTCCTAAGCTGATATGTTAGTCTTTAATTTCACATTGCAGTATATTAATATGGCTCTTCTAGCTACAGTCCTCTATTTTGTAATGTACTACGAATCCTAGGTTCTATGCCCATAGTGATGTTGTCATATTGAGTGTCTATTATGCTAATTAGAATGGAATGTATTCTTGATTTACCACCCCAGTGGAAGGTATATGACTGTCACCAATGCCCTTAGTTTCCTTAGGGGTGTGGCCTTTATCCAATATAAAGAAATGTTTGGCAAAGTACTCTCCCTTGCTCTGGATCCGGCATCTATCCTGTCTTTGTATCTGACCTCTGACCTCTATTTGAGTCAGTAGCCTATCAACTGACCTAATTTGCTACCTTCCAAAGTCTTGTGGTCAGCCATCTGACCTGCTAATTTTGGTTTACCAGCCCCTGTAGTCACATTGGTCAGAAGAGGCCTCCAAACTTACACTTGACCCAGGGATTTGTGATTTGTCAATCTCTACAACTATGTGAGGCATTTCCTTCATGAGTTATATGACACATTACAATGAATTAGAGAATCCTAAAGACTGGAGGGTGACGGAATGGCACTGCTAACCACAAGGTCAGTGGTTCAAACTACCTACTCTGAAGGAGAAAGAAGACACTTTCCATTCTTGTAACGGTTTACAACCTCAGAAACACTAAGGAGCCAATCAAAAGGTTGAATCTACTCAATGGCAGTGGGAGTTTACCATGGTGCCAAGAGAGTGATGAGAAAGAAAAGCAGTTGCTATCAAAGATAATGGCATGGTATAGCAGTGCTTGGAAAAGTTGGACATTTGGGACATTCCTAACCACCACTCATAGAGGTGGAGCCTTGTATGGATCCTTCTAAAAGAAATTATTTATGTACACATCTTCAAAGAAGCCTACCTCAAAGGTACTAACTCATTTCCTAAATACACCATTAAAGACACTGCACAGTATTATTAACTGTTTTAACATTAATGCTATCCAGAAAACAGGATGTTCATTTAACAGTTCCTGAGTACAGCAAATATTTTCATACTGCTACTAACTGTCCATACACTTAAAATAATAGTTCTCTGTCTTATACACAATAAGTTGTAGCAAAGAGTTAACAGATTATGCTGGAGTTAAATGAGAAATACACATTTGGCTTTGGGATCCAGATGCATAAACATCGACTAATGTTTTAGGCTCAAGAAACGCTCAGGTGTCTGAGATAATTTATTCTACAGCCTGTTTCCTTAAGGAAAATTATTACTTCCTTCAAATTTCAGTTGATAATGCTGCAGACAGTAATGAGTTCTAAAGCTATACTTTTATCATTTTTAAACTAAAAATTCCAAAGTATTTTATTGATGGTTTATTATGGGTATACTAGATCAATCATTCCTTGAAAGTGTATTTATTTAAAATGCTTCTAGGCTTTACAAGTATGTAAATATCTATAGTAAAAAAATGTGGTCCTACAGCTATCACTGACTTAAAAGGCTCTAAAACACATGACAGAGAACTTATTTATAGTCGTTGCTGCTTCACAGAACCCAAATAGCAGATGTTTTGGAATTACATTAAAAAAAAAGTCTACTGGCATCAATTTTATTCTGACTCATAGCCACTGGCAGCAAAGAACTACGCCAGTTTTTAACTCTCTAAATCCTCACTAGGGCAGTGAATATGAACTGCTGATCTTACGTTAAGTACCCACTGTACGTTAGTAGGCCCCAATTGAGGACTACAAAAGAGACGTTATATAGCATCTGAAAATCTGTTTTGCTGATCTCTGTCCTTGTTTTAAAAGACACAATGTACACATAATACACATACATCATACTATATCAATTCAACTGAAGAAATTCCAGTTGATTTTACATTTATGTATAAACTATAAATCCTAATTAATAGTATTCAGGCAAGTTAAAATCACAGCACTATTTTAAGATGTTTTAAAAAGTGTATATATATGTCAAATATAATATAGTCCCACTTACATAAAATATCTAGGCTGAGAAAATGCATAAACAAGAGTTATGAGACCTTGAGGGGAGGAGAAATGGAAATTTTTACTTAAGGGTACTGGGTTTCTATTTGGGGTGATGAAAACGTTTGGAATTGGAGGTGATGTTTGCACAACATAGTGAATGTAATTAATGTCACTGAATTTACACTTAAAATGGTTAAAATGACCAAATTTTTGTTATACACATTTTACCACAATGTATTTTAAAGTCTTTATGGATTATAACTTTTCTAGATTGTAATTACAAACTTGTCATTTTAAATCAAGATAAAGCTAATTACAATAAAAAAATAATCTATTTTCTTCAGTATGTCCTATTTTTTTCAGAAAAATCAGTTAAAAATCACCAAATATGTGAAGTGAGACATCAGTCAGTGTAAGACATGAAAAAATAATTAAAAAATTATCAAGAGATCATGAGGGATGGATGGTGGGGGAGGGACCAGAAAAAATGAGAAGCTGATACTAAGGGCTCAAGTAGAAAAAAATGTTTTGAAAATGTTGATGGCAACAAATGCACAAATTTGCTTGACACAATGGATGTACTGTATGGATTGTGATTAAGAGTTTTATAAAGCTCCCAATAAAATGATTTTTTAAAAAAGAGCCACCAAATATGTTAGTCTTCATGTTATATTATTCAAAGCATTTAGTAAAGGACATATCAAATCAACATGTACTATTTAGTTGGTTTTAAATAAAAGAATACATATGTGCCTGTAACAAAATTAATGGAATCCTTCTGACTAAAATGCTGATGTTTTGTTGAAATGTTGTAGGGATTTCTACAAGTTTATTTTCCATTCCTCTTACTTTTAGCCAGGGTATTAAAAACAGGTTTTTTTGTTTTTCCTTTTCTCCTGAAGTTACTTTATGCCAAGTAAAACAAGGTCAGGGTTTAAAATGATTTGTGCCTTACTGTAACAGGAATGCAAAATGCATTCCAGGTAAACCATACACTTCTAAATCATTAACCAGAACAAATGGAAATGATTTAAATATTGTTAACAATCTCCTGAAAAGAAACTTAAATGTTCAAGTCCCATTTTGTCAGGATTTGATCAATTTAATTAATAATAAGAATAAAGATAACGCTTTACTTTGAAAAACATGGCTAACTTGTTTTTAAATTGCATACTGGTGGAGTTTAACAAACTGTTGTGCCTTTCTCTGAGCTGCTTTTCTACTACTGTCCATAAAAGATACTGAGTAAAACATGTAACAGATCTGGCCAACCCACCAGACTGCTCCCTCTAAAAGGCAATAAATTCTGACAAAAAAAAAAAAAGTCCCCAGTCATTCCAAATGACTCCCTTGATTTTTCAAAAAGGGATGGGGTGAGGGGGTGGGGAGTAGGGAGGAGGGAGTGGTAGTCATTTTGGGGGAAAAAATGAAAGCGTAAAGGGGAAAATACATTTGTATGAGACTAAGGCCTTACAGATGGCTTTGAGTTTTAGCTCATTAGCTGGAAGGCTTAAAGGAATATCTTATTTATTCTAGTTAAGGAATCTTTTACCTTAAACGAAGGAAACAGCAAAATGGGATTACAAAAATTCAGCTAAGATATGAATTCAGCATACATAGCAGTCATTCGATATTCACGAAAATACATGTAATCTTTTTAAAGATCTGGAGGCAAGAATGCTAAACTCCTAAGAATCAAAATTTATAATAGTGGATGCTGGGGGTGGGGGGGTGCTATAATGAGGACGTTATTCAATAATGTTCTATTTAAAACTGAATGAATTTACATGTGTATATAATATCAAAAATAAATATACTTAGAAAAATGTACTAATTCATTTAGGTAAAAAATAACCAAATTTACAAAACTTATTTTGTGTTGTTCCCTTTTTTGGGGTCACATTTAAGGCTGCCAAGTAGCTGTGGGAAGCGGGTGGGGACACTTCAGAGAGGATCCACCGTGCTCCTCTGAAACGGAACAAAGCAGCCCTTTCGAGGGAGGACGGGGCTTCTCGGGGCCAAGGGCCTGGACTTCGAGTACAGCACACCGGGCATGCGAGCCGGAGCTCAGGGAACTGGAAGAGGTCGGCCACTTGGGCGGCTGTCACCCGGTCCCGGCGAGGCCACTCGGCGAGGGTTCCGACAGGGAGTCCCCTCCCGCGCCGTCGGGCCACCGCACGAGGGAGCCGCCCGTCCGGCCGCAGCCCAGCGGACACCGGCCGGGCAGCGAGCGGCCGCGGGGCGTTTCCTGGCAACTCGGCGCAGCCTGCCCGGCTCCGGACTCTCACCCGGAGGAGCTGCCCCCACGCTCCGCCGCCGGGACCCCGGCGAGGCGGCCTTTCTGGAGCCAACGGCCCGCAGGCAACGTCCGCCCGCCCGCGCGCCCGCGCGCCGGCCCCTCCGCCTCGCGTGCACGGCCCCCGGCGCCCACCTGTTGGTCGCACTCGGGGCATGACTTGGTGGCCATCTTCACTTTCTTGGCCCGAGTTGCAGACATCCTCCTCTCCCCTCGGCGGCGACGGCGGCAGCTCGGCTCCTCCCCTCGCGCCTCAGCAGCCGGGTCCCAGCCCGCCCCGTCGCCGCAGGGTCGGACCCAGGCTCCGGTGGGCGCGCGCGTGCGCGAGCTCGCACGGAGCCTGCGTGCCGAGGGGGCGGGGCGCCGCGTTTGCGGGCGCCGGGCGGCGGCACGCGCTCCCCACGCGGGCTTCCGCCCCACACGCCGACCGCCCTGGATCTGCTCGGGAGCCTCCAGTGACCAGACCGCCTCGGAGGCTCCACATGACAATGGCCAGCTTCTGAAGGACAGCGCGAGGGCGGGGCTAGAGCGGGACGACGCTGACGGGCGTCTCGCTCGACCAACGAATTCACCGAAAGGGCGGTCGTTGTCCTGGGCACGCCTCCTGGGGGGAGGAGAATATGCGCGTGGAGTGGGCGGGGAAAGGTAAGCCGCTTAGCAAGAAAGCCGAACCCCTTTTATAGCTGCCTTGGAGTGTTTTCTGACTCATAGGAACCGTGTAAGGCAGAGTAGAACTGCCCCATAGGGTTTCAAAGGCTGTAAATCTTTATGGAAGCTGACTGTCACATCGTTCTCGCAAAGGGGTTTGTACGTTGGAACAGTTTTCTGTTAGCAGCTCGGCCACTAGCAGCCTACTGAGTGTCCCTTAAGCCTCAGTGCAGATCCTCAGTACTACAAATCTAATCATTGACTTTTTCTGTGGCTTCCAGATTTAAAAAGAATTCGCTGAAATATTTACTGAGGGACGTTCAATTGTCAGACAAATGTAAATACTACGAGTGCCTGGCTAGCACAAATACAGGAGAAACTGTGAAACTCATTCAAGTGCCTCAGATGACAGTCATAGTGATCCGCTTCTGAAAGGTCAGTCTTGAAAACCTAGTGGTTTAGACAAATTGAGTCTAATATTGGCAACAGAGACTATATTGCTGGGAAGACTAGATCTATTGAATGTCTTAAAAGGCAATATGTATCAATATTTAAAATCTACCTAGCCTTTTAATGGAAATCTAGCCATTTCCATTTCTAAGAATTTGAAATCTATTTTGTGCAAAAACTTGCACACTGCAGCATTATTTGCTAGAAGTAATTTTTATACAAGAAACTGCATGGGAAATTAAGGCATACTTACAATACCAGTATCACTGCAGCTTTTCAAAAGAATAAAATCTATAAAGCAGCCCTGGTGGTAGTGAGTTACAGGTTTGGCGCTAACCAAAAAGGAACCTGTTTAAACCCACCAGCGGAGCCACAGAGAAAAGATGAGGCTTTCTGTTCCTATAAAGATGTACAGCCTTGGAAGCTCAAAGGAGTAGTAGTCTGTTCAACAGGTTGTCTGTGAGCCACAATTGTCTCAGTCGCAGTGAGTTTAGTTAGTTTTGAGATATAATGATTTCTGAGATAAGGCATTAAGTGAAAAAATGTACAGAGCACCTTGTTTGGAATGTAAAGTAAACTTAATATGGAGAGGTAGTTAGTATTGCATATGTATTGACTATCTCAGAAAACACATACAAAAATAAGGGAACTGGAGGGTAGAAGAGAGACTCGACTTTTCATTCCTTTTGTGTTTATATTTTCTACTAGGCCACTCTAGTATCACCTAACACTCCAACCACCCGCCCTGCCATAAAAGAGGTATATAGGTTCTAAAAGATTTTCTTCAGAGGTCTCCTAATCTGAAAGATGAGCTATGCCACAGTGGGATACCTACTAGACAGGTGGGACAGTGTGAGCAAGATAGGCAGGTCAGTAGGTTAGTATTGTGGGCACAAGTACAGGGTAAAGAGGGTTAAAGGTTGGAGAAGTGGCTACATCCAGCTTTGCAAGGCCTTTGGTAACAGAGAAAGGAGTTTGGGCCACAATGTGAGGGCAACATTGTGGGGATTTGAAGTTGGGGAGTAACAGGATCAGATTTGAAGTTCAATAGAATTGTCCCATTAGGGTCCCCAGGTTGTAAATCTTTATTGAAGAACATTGCTGAATCTCCTACAGAGTAGCTGATGAGTTCAAACTGCTAACCTTTTGGTTAGTGAGCAAGCACTTTAACCACTGCACCACCAGTGCTCCTTCCATTTTCTACTAAGTAGTTAACATTTATTTGCCTTGACACTTACAAATTCATTCAACAACTGTTTACTAAGTATGTGCTATATATGGGAGCCCTGGTGGCACAGTGCGTACAAATTGGGCTGTGACCCACAAGGTCGGCAGTTTGGCTCTAAGATAGATAGACAAAGGCTTACTTACGACTCTAGCAAAGTTACAGTCTCAGAAACTCACAGTAGCAGTTCTATCTTGTCCTATAGGGTTGCTGTCTGTTGCCATTGACTCCGTGGTAGTGAGTTTGGTTTGGGGTTTGATACTATATTCTGGGGAATTCCTAAGTGGCACAATCAGTTGACATGCTTGGCTGCTAACTGGAAGGCTAGAGGTTTGATTACACCCACGAGTGCCCCCAAAGAAAGGTCCAGTGATCTACCTCTGAAAAATCAGCACTTGAAAAGTTTATGGAGCACACAGTCTACTCAAACACACAAAGTTACCATGAGTCAAAATTCACTTTATGGCAACTGGTATGAACCAGACCTTGTGTTCTTGAGGGGGAATTAACAAAATAAACTCCTTGCTGCTGTGAATTTTGTAATGTAGTATAAAATACAGATATTAAGCAAATAACCACATAAACATAGGAGTAAGGTGATCAGAATTCTAAAGGATCATATTGGATTTTTACAGCCATTAAGGGAGGGGGGTTTAGCTATGGTGGGTAGAGAAATCAAGGAAAACTTCTCTGAGAAAACGTGTATGAGTCAATGAGAAGAAAGGTAGCAAATGTGATAAAAACTTCAAAATATTTGTGTAAAAATGTAATTAAAAGATACAATTTTTTAAAACTTTATTTCTTAACATAATCTCCATGAAGTTCAAGACACTTTTCTAAGCAATATTACTCATTTAGTCCATCCTAAAGATTTTTTCAGATTAAAAAACAAAAAAGTCCGAAGGGGTCAAATCAGAACTATAAGGTGGATACCTAAAGATTTTCCACAGAAAGTCCCTCAAAATTGCCCTTGGTCAGAAGAATGAGCAGTAGCATGGTCATGGTGGACTCTCTGCAGCTGTGGGCTTCATCATCAACATCCCCCTTGTCCCTTCTTAAAACATCAGGGTTTCTTTGGGGCATTGTTCCCATAAACTTTTCGTAGTACTATATTAATCATTTCACCATTCTTCCACCTATGTTTCCCCATAAATCTGATATCTATTTTTGTTTTAATTTACCAGAATCCCTGTTGGTCTGATAGGGGATTTTTAAAAATGATGTCTTCTCCTTCTTACCACTTCACATTAGATCCTGTTCAGACATTTTATGGCAAGATTATTTTGATGCCATAACTTTAAAAAATCTTTGCATACTTTTTTCATATGAACTTTTTGAATACCCCATGTGGGATATAAAAAGACTTTTCCCCAGCTTTATCTCCCTCAAAGATATGCCAAACATTAGAGGCTGTTTGCCAGCACATGGTGGGAAGTCAGATGCTTAGAGACACCTGGTTCACTATAGGTGGGGCTCACACTCTACTGATAAGGATAGCAATTGTTTCCATGGAGATACAGAGAACAGGTCAAACCTGCTCAGTGACATCCAAAGTTAGGCTGACATCCTGAATCTTGGATCCACCCACCTTGTCACATGTGTACCCCCAATCCCACCCCTTCCTATTGCGTGGTGGATACCCCTAGATCATCCCCCTCCCATTACTGTATTACATATAGTACAACCCCTTCCTGTAATGTGTGTCTTTACCTGTAATTTGGGGCTTGCATGCCCCCCAAAGGTTTCTAACCCTTCGTTAGAAATAAAGAGCTCCCTCTCCCCCGGTGCTCTCTCCCCAAGTCCTCACTCCCTGGTCCCCTCTCCCCTTGTCCTCCTTCCCCTCCCTCTCCTGTCCTCACATCTCCCATCTCCACATGGACCACCAAGTGAGGCTGAGGTGAGCATGCTACCATGAAATGTGTCTGACTCCATTATTTCAATCTATCTTCTATCTCTCATGTTTTCTATGACTTTACTATAATCTTTACTTATTATCACTGTACAATTGCCCCTGCCGGGCCTGTGTTGATTTGTTAGGGGCTGGCTCCCCTGACAACCCCACAAATATCACACATAGAGAACAGTATGGGCAAATGTGCTCAGCTAAGAGGAAGTGAAAGAAGGCTTTGTGCCTGCAGCAACAACAGTAAGAGGGAATCCCAATGCAAGAGTAGGGCTTGCAAAGCAGCAAAAGCCAGGGGGTGTTGAACATACCGAGGACAAGTGGTAGAAGAGTAAAATTTTCACTGGCTTTTTCATTTCTCAATTTACTCAAGATATTTACTATATATTGTTAAAGTGGCTGGAAGTGTTCTAGTCTCACAGTATACAACTCAACCAGGCAGGGGTTTCTCCAATAATATATTATGAATAGAGAAGGATATAGTATATGTACCTAATTGCCATCACGAGCAACAGCCTCCTTTGCTATGAGACCATAAGTGGATGGTGCTTGTCTACCACTACTGAATGTTGATCAAAGATTCTAAAGAAGAATCTTGGTCAAAAGAGGGAATTCAGAACAGAATTTCAGATTCTCAAGGAATCCACACTTTCTGGACCCATTGAGGCTAGATTGAGCCCCCAAACTATTGTGTTGACAGATCTTTAAACCTGAACCAAAATGACCCACTGAAGTCTATTTTAATCCAAATAATAATGTAGCTTAGTTAAGGAAGTCTGATTTATGCTTTTTTGTTGTTGCTATTTTTCTTTTCCCCTCTCTTTTTATTCAATCTTTTTGTATTGTCTCCATTATTATTGCTAGCGTCTGGGGTCTTAAAAGCTTGAAGGTAAACAAGCGGCCATCTAGCTCAGAAGCAACAAAGCCCACATGGAACAACATATCAACCTGTGTG